CCAGCACACAAGCAGATAAGAGAGATGGGGTAGTGTTCATAAGAGACACCAGAGTTTTTACTTGGAAACCCCTAAAAAGGGGGAAAAACACGGGGCCTGGCCCAATTTGAATGAATCCACTAATATTTGCAGTCAATTACAAATGAGGCCCTTCCTTGGGAGAAGGCCTTGGTTTGATGTCACAAATGTACATTATATAGAGCACCTTACATGGTGGGAGTTACAAAAATCAACATAGACATGTTTGTTCGGTCAACAGGACCATAGTTGACAAGATAGAGGTCAGAAACACCGTAGTTGGCAGGAGATCTGGGTCAAAAAGAACGTTATCTAGTGATGGAGCTCGAAATGATCATAGTAGGCAATAGAGGTCGAAAGAACCGTAATCAACAGGAGACAGGGGTCCAATATATCATAATTGGTAGGAGACCAGGGTCTAAAAGACTGTAATTGCAGGTCGGTACTCCGGTAGAACTCTCGGCGTCAGGTGGTGGCCCAACAAAAGTCTGGGCCTCAAGTGGTGTGGTTCTGCAGAAGTTCGGACCTCAAGTGGTGGTCTAGTAGAAGTTAAGGACTCAAGTGGTGGTCTGGCAGAACTTTTGGCATCAGGTGGTGATCCAGCAGAACTCCGGACATCAGGTGGTTGTTCGGCAGAAGTTTGGGCATCACATGGTGGTACGGGAGAAGTCCGAGCCTCAAGTGGTGGTTTGGCAGAAGTCTGGGCCTCAGGTGGTGGTCCGACAAAACTCCTGGTGTCAGGTGGTGGTCTGGGAGAAGTTCGGGCCTCAGATGGCGGAACGAGAGAAGTTTGGGCCTCAAGTGGTGGTTCGGCAGAAGTCTGGGCCTCATATGGTGGTATGACAGAACTTCGGGCATCAGGTGGTGGTCTAGCGGAGGTGAGGGCCTCAAGTCGTGGTCCGACGAAGGTGAGGGCCTCAAGTGGTGGTCCGGCGGAAGTCCAGAACTTGGCATCAGGTGGTGGTCTAGCGGAGGTGAGGGCCTCAAGTCGTGGTCCGACGAAGGTGAGGGCCTCAAGTGGTGGTCCGACGGAAGTCCGGAACTCAAGTGGTTGTACGGCCGAGGTGAGGGCTTCAAGTGGTAGTCTGGCAGAGTAACAACGTCAGGCGATGGTCCGGTGGAAGTCTAGTCCTCAAGTGGTGGTCCGGCGGAGGTGAGGCCTCAAGTGGTGGTCCGGTGGAAGTCCGGGGTTCAAGTGTTGTTCCGGCGGAGGTGAGGGCCTTAAGTGGTGGTCCAACATAAGTCCGTGCCTCAAGTGGTGGTTCGACGGAGGTGAGGGCCTCAAGTGATGGTCCGACGGAGGTGAGGGCCTCAAGTTGTGGTCCGGCGGAGCTCCGACGGTGGTCGAGGAGGAGTTTCTTCCTTCTCTTCTTCACTTCTTTTTACTTGTTTTGGTCCCCCTTTCAAGAGAAATGAAGAGTCTATTTATAGATTTCGTGGCATGACCCGTAAATATGTGAGAGATCAAGGGTGAATGGGGAGTGGTTGAATGGATGGCCGATGTTGAATCCCTTAATCATTGACCGATTGATGGAAATTTGAATGTCTTAGTGATGTCAGAATTTGGTGATCTTGTGCTAGTTGGATTTGTCTCGTCAAACCGCTCGATTCGACTATAACAACGTTACGTTTAGAAACCATTTAGTAATCCACTTGTGGTTCATGCCTTCCAACAACACTTCTAAGCCTTGATTTGGACCTGTTTGGGCTCAGATTGGGTTGGATTTGTTGCCGTTGGGTTTGTAGTTTTGAGACGCTCAGTTCGACTATAAGTTTGCATAAATCGGAGTTCGTATGGTCCCAATTTTAATTTCGGAAGTTTCCAACTTGATTTTGCATCAAGATTCGCGCCCATCAAGATAATTTTTTGATGACATATAAAATATATACTTATTTGTAAACTTAAATTACATTTAAATTTGATTCATTCATGTATTGAATTTTTAAAAATAAGTTAAACTTATTTTAAATTGAATAATTATTAGGGGGTATACATACATGTCACTTTATTTTACCAATATTACATGTTTAACATCTAAAATTTAAATATTACATTTCTAACACTCAAACACTAATTTAACAACAGAAATACCATTCCATCTCCACCAACCCTGGCCTCACGACATTTTTTCTTCCCGTTGATCCGCACAGGATATTTCAGCCAAAGATTTCTCCCGCGCATCCGACTTCAGGCGTACTCAACTAGTCATGGCTCCCTCTTTCTCATTATTGTATTATCGGCAATCCTCTTACTAAGTTTTTAGCTTCTTGTTTCTCCAACTGGTGAAGTGGAAGCTGAGATTGGGTAATAAATTGTCTCTGCAGTCAGCAGTGCTCCACCTATTCTCATTCTTGTATCTGTTCTCATTCTTGCAACTCTGACTTTGCTCTGCTATTAGAAGCCTTATTTACCATTTTGTTGGTTTAATTTAGTAAGCATTATGTAGGTTCTAATTTTACTTAATTAGTCTTATGTAATTTTGTAGAGACAAATTTAATTTGTGTTCTAAAATTCTGTAGAAGCAATTTTTCTTATAACAATTTAGTGTTTGATATGTCTTCTTATTTCAGGTTAAAGGAAAAATGACAAGCAGGTGGAATAATTGGGACGACATATTTTGAAAGCTTCAAATGAAATAAAAATTTGAAAGAATAAGCTATGCTTACTTGCGGTTTTACTTCTAAACAAAAAACTCTACACAGGGGCGGAACCAGCCCTAATTTTCAGGGGGGACAAACTTATAAGGCATATATGTCGGGGGTCCAAGGGGGCAGCGCCCCCTGGCGGGGTTCGACCTGTCCGGTTGAAGGATATTTTTGGAATTCAATGATGAATTCTCTTTACTACTTGTTAGGGGCAATTACCTAAAGACCATAGTATTCTAAAAATTTTAGGGGGGTCAATTGCCTAAAAACCCTTGTAATAAAGACTAAAAAATGAACGAAGATGAATAAATTATCTAAAAAATCATATAAATAATTTTTTTAAAAATTTTTTTAAAGAGGAGGGGGGGGGGGGCAATTGCCCCCCATGACCCCAATGGGATTCCGCCCATGAATCTTCATATAAATTACTCTTGTTTAGGAAGATACAAGAGAAACTGCAGCTTTCACCTAGAAAAACAACAAGGCAAAGTGATCGACAACAAGTAAAGTAAAGGAAACAAACCTAACAAGAATGACACCTTGTGAGAGAAGCTGATCTTAGTCGGAATTAACTGTGCTTTTTGTTGCCAAAAACTCAGCGGGTGCTAAAAAAAGCAAAGAGAGGAGTTCGCGGGAAGAGAAAGCAAGCAGTTGACGTGGCTAGGGATTGCTACAAGAAGCAACGTCATGAGGTTTGGTGGAGAAGGAGTGATATTTATGTTGTTAAATTATTGTTTGGGTGATAGAAATATAATATTTAAATTTTGGGTGTTAAATATATAATATAGATATAATAAAGTGGCATGTATGGAAATCTCTCAAAGAATTCATACCATTTTGATTCAACAAATTTTACGCTGATAGTCGGCTACCTAATACAATTCTCTATTTTTATCATCTAGAACATAGAACATAATAATGGCAGTGTTGTTTAAATAAACTATATATTTAAATAAATTTAAATTGAAAATTATTTGAGCTAATATATTTGTTTCGTCCAGGAGTATTCGCGGCGGTAAAGAAATATCATATTTAACGTGTTAGCATTGTACGAAAATCCGGCACGCAATCAGATAAGAGAGAGGGTGTAGCATTTATGAGACACCAAGATTTTTACGTGGAAAACCTCTGAAAAGGGGAGAAAACCACGGGGCCTAGCCCAGTTTGAATGAACCCACTAGTATTGCAGTCGATTACAAATGAGGCCCTTCCTTGGTGGAAGGTCTTAGCTTGATGTACATCTTATGGAGTACATTACATGATATTAATACAAATAGTCATTGTTGACATGTTCGTTTGGTCAGAAGGATCGTAGTCGGAGGGCGACGGAGGTCGGAAAGACTGTAGTTGGCGGGCGATATAAGTCAGAAGGATCGTAGTCGGCGGGCGACAGAGGTCGGAAAGACCGTAGTCGGCAGGCGACATAAGTTAGGAGGACCGTAGTCGGCGGGCGACGGAGGTCGGAAAGACTGTAGTCTGACGACGAAGATCAAAAGGACAACGTCGGGTAGAAGTCCAACAATGAAAAGAAATCCATCTTCGCGTAGACGTCCAGCGAAGTCCGATAACCGGTAGAAGTCCGGCGTCTGGTAGAAACTTGGCAAAGAGTGAAGGTTCGACGTCGGGTAGAAGTCCGACGTCTGTTGGTGGCAAAGGAGAACTCCGGCTTCACGTGGGCAGAGTTTCGGCGTTAGAAGGAAACTCTGTTGCAAGTTGAGAAGAATTTCAGCACCACGTGAAAGTTGGGAAGAATTCCTGCGTTCTCCCGAATATCACGCAGAATCTCGGCGTGTTCGGACGCCAGGAAGAGCTCCGGCGGTGGTCGAGGATGTCTCCTCACTTTTATTTCTGTTTTATTTTTTAAAAAATTTCTGTTTATCCACAATATCTAACAAAAACTCTTCAAAAGTCTGTAGCAGTTCTTATTAGTGCCATTGTAGCAACCCTGAAGGAAATACGACGGAAGACATTACCGTGCACAACAATGCGATCAGGAACTGCTTCGACTTCGGTGGAAAATACGAGACGTCCGAAAAAAGGAAATATGATGAAGACAGCTTATGCAAATGTTTATAATTACAGAACAAAGCAAGCAAGGTCTCACAGATGTTCGGCGGAGAGTGAGACTTAGCGGCAACAGGTATTTCGGCGGGAAGAAATACTTCCGTCAGTCCATCACAGGTATTGGGCGGCAAGGAGAGAAACGTCGTGAGGAGGCGTTAGATGGAGTGTTAGAAATGATATAAAGTAGGGATTTAAGTGGTATATATGTAATATTAATGTATGAGGTGTTAGATATGTAAAATATTAAGTATATAGTGGTATGTATGTAAATTTCCCAAAAATCTATTATATATAGAGGGAGAGAGAAAGAGATTATGTAAAAATACAAATATAATGGAGAAAAATGATCGTGTCCGCAATTGCATAATTTGATTCCCTTCGCTTACGATAGTAACCGCTCCCTGTGATCAGTCTACATCAACTGAAATCAGCTGTCAGATATCCCTAAGTCGAGATCGGGAGAAGGGCCGACTGCGAAGCGGAAAGCGAGAAGGGAGATCGAGAAGCAAATGGGAAGTAATCATCAGCAAAGTCCGAATCAGAAAACCCTGCATCAGCCCAAATCCGGCGATCGAAAGCTTCCAGCATCTCGTCGGGGACAAGCGGCTTCCGGCACAGAGGGCAAGTTTGCTGATCTAGCTCAATCCAGCGATCAAGGCAGCATCGATGAAAAACATGGCGGCAATTACTTAGAAGCCGGACCTCCTCCGATGCGTCGAATCCGTAGAGGCAAACTGCGCATCCGTCAGCGATCGGCCGGTGATCGATCTCCCCTTCCCCGAGGAAAAGATCCTCAAAGCGAATCGAAGGGAGGATCTCCTGGATCAGAGCAGCGGAGATCGAGCTGAAATCTGAAGGGCTTTGATGATCGGGAAGGGCGGGCGGGTCGGGCAAGGGAGCGTCGGAGTCGAGGATGTCGCCTAGGCCTATGGCTGTGAAGGACGATGAGATCAGGCGTTGGAGGAAGCGGACGAAGACGAGGATTTGGATGATGGGTTTGGGGAGGAGGAGCTCTGAGTAGCATAAGGGGAAACCCATGGAATGGAGAGAGAGAGAGAGAGAGAGAGAGAGAGAGAGATCTGTTTTGTTTTTCTTCCCTTGGGGAGATTGACTGTTCTGTGAACTCTTTAGCAGTAGAGACGTTTTGAGTGCGTAGGTCGGAAGAAGTACCGAGGCTCCGTATCTATATATAGGTAGGCGGGAGGAGGTGGAGTGGTGGAATAGTTGGTCCCTCTTTTCTCTTTAGGAAATAATTGTACCATATGTTGATTTTGTACTATCTTCATATTTTGAGAGTTGTTAATTAGTTGAATAAAATGTTTTTTTATTATAAATTTTTTGAGAAAAAATATTATGAAATATTTCAGCAGAGTTTTCATTTTGGTGTTAGCATCAAATGATAAATAGAGAGAGAACTATTATGACCATAATATTGTTGGACATCTCAGGCTTCATTTGGGACGGCTTTCTCACTATTTTATAAAGTCATTTTTAGAAAAAAAATATCTTAAAAGCAGGGAAAATGCAGTAGTCTAAAGCTGTTTTAAACGAAATCTAAGGCTTCATTTGGGGCGACTTTTTTACTGTTTCTTAAAATAGCTTTTTACTTCAAAATTTTTTAATTTTTGTACTAAAAAATTACTAAATGAAGCCTAAATCTATTGGATAGTGGTGTTCTAACAAAATTCATTGTGAGCAACATGGCATATTATCTAAATAAACAATGTCTAGTTAGTTATTGATGTTATGAGTATAATGAAGTGCAAAATAAAAATTTGATAATTGGATTGATGAAAAAAAATAATGAGAAAATTCTCAAATTTAGGCCCACTAAAAATAAAAAAGATAATATGTTGTTATTTTTATGTCAATATATTGGTTTCATAAGAGAAATGATTTTGTTGCAAATGACATATAAAATGATAGCATGTATAGATTGGTATGAATCAAAGAAGTTAGAATCTTCTCATATGATTTATATTATAATGAGAGCAAAGTAGATAGAACTCTCAATGAGAGATTTTCTAGTTTGGAAGTGATAGTATTAATTATTCTATGTGGACACCAAATGGTGTCCGGGATATAATGAGAGTGTGCTACGTTATTTTTTTTGTTGTGTATCAGTGTACTGCTGTGTCCTGGATGATGTGACATACTCTTATTCTTCTTCAAACGGTCTGGTGTCCGTACAAAATAATTTCTCCAGAGATATAGTTGTTTTTGTCATATTCTTGTTATCCCCACCATCATTTCTTCTTCTTTCGCACTCTTAATGCATATCATATACAAGGAATATTAGCGTGGAAGATCGATTTTTTATGGAATACCTATCATATTTGGAAGATTGAACACCAACTAAAAAGAATGGCTCAACTTGTTCACCATTAATCAATTAGTGTTGCAGGTATAAAGACCATTGTATTGAAGACGATCTTGGTTTCCTGGCTTCCACATCATACTAATTATACTATTGAAATTTCTTATTTTATTCTAAAATCTAAATAATTTGTAATATTGTAACCGACCATTTATATATACAAGCACAAATGTGCGCACCCTCACTGACAGGTGCGAAATTAGCTTCTCAGTTGAGAGCGGGCAAAATAGAATTGTGAAATGCATAATTTTATGTACAAAGTAGAAAATAACTATTCTTCTTAGAATTAATTAATCAATTTTCTTATAAATGTATATAATTTTATGGATGCACATATAAATATAAAAGATAAATCTTATGCTCTTATTAGAATAAAGTAAAACTTTTAAAATTATAAACTTGAACAAATTTCTATAAAAGATATAAAAATAAATAAAAACTTCATAATCTATGATTTGAAAGAGTAATAAAGAGTAATTAGAGCTATTAAAGGCCAAAAGTCATATCAGATACATCTACATAGGAGGCGGGGCAATGTCACGGGCAGGCGTGGCAGTGCGAGCAGTTGATTTTAAACGGGTTCGCTGGTTGACCCGGCAACCCATCGGGTCAACTCAAACCCGACCCGTTTTTCAAACGGGCCGATTTCTGGAACCCGAACCCGACCCGTTTTGAAATCGAGTCGGGTCAAACTCGAAATTTCCGGGTCAGATTTGAGTCGGATTTTTGTGTCGTGTCAAATATTGGCACCCCTAGGCATATATAACTGCATAAGTATATGACCATTTGATAAATGACTGCCAATGAATTATTAAAATGATCCTAATGCACATATTATATTTTAGGCTAATAAAAAAAATATCTCTTTACATCACCATCCTCATATGCATATAATGACATCTTGCATATATGATGTGATCGTTGGAAACATTTTCTTTATCATCCTAACTTATTTTGTGTTGCATAACAGCTTAAATGATATTGATTTTATAGCTCAATACTCAAGCGGGGTCTAATGGCATGGCCTAATATAGATGATGCAAGGGAAGTACTTTATTTCCTGATATTTTAGCTCAGGGCTTAGTTTGTTATGCAGAGCTTGAAATAAGAATCTAGGAGAGTGATGTAATTCATGAAGCGAGGATGCAACTCATTTTGATTTGTTAGTTGTGGGCTTTGACTATATATTAACCAAAAGATATTGCGTTCGAAATTTACGTATGTGATGTGTGTATGAGTTTGACTTATTGGTTCAAATGTCCAAAAAAAATCACGAAGTTGGATTAAACAGTTCAAGAGGCATGCATTGGAATCTTTCAGATCAAACGCCTACAATTTTTTGGCCAAGGCAATCGAATTTTGATGTTTTTGGGGTCCCAGGGACTATTTTGGACGTTTTGGACTCTATTTTGACACTTTCGGAGCAAAACAAGGCTTCTACAGTCAATTTCAAGAAATTTTTAAAGTTTTGGTCCACAAATTTTCAATATTTTTCGCTTCAATTGAAGCGCAAGCATCAGGACATGCTAAACTTATGATTAAGGATACGTTACTTGTTCACGGCTCTAAGAGTAGGTTCATGTTGATGTCCAAGGAGCGATTGCGCCTCGTAATTACCCAAAAAAATGTATTTTTTTGTATTGGAAAGATTTGAAGAAGTCCGACATTATTTTCGGTCTCTAAAACCTTGAAGTCCGAAAATAAGGGGGAAATTGATATAGCATAAAAAACTATCTTGATCGAGCACAAATCTCGCCGCAATTTCGAATTGAAACTTTTCGAAATTAAATTTGGGGCCCACTCAAACTCCAATTGAAGCAAACTTAGAGTCAAAATGAACGACTCGAGAAGATGAACCCATCTACACCAAATTCAATCCAATCCGAACCCAATGGATCCAATTCAATTCGAAGGCCCAAAACACATTTATAATGTTCAAAGAATAAATTGGATGAATAAATGATATCCAAATGAGACTTGCTTATAGTCGAATCGAATGACTTTTGACTGGTCATTGACAGTCTTCGAACTTCTGCTCGGCCACTGTCTTTCGTCGGACTTCCACTCGACTATTGATCATTGCTTGACTTTTGTTCATCTATCGACCCTCGTCTGACTTCTTTCCGAGAAGTTCCTGTTCTTCCCAACTGTCATCTTTCACACGAAGTTCAAACCACTTTATGGACTTTTGTAATCTAACTGTCATCATATTTAGTGACGATCTTTGTAATCTATCTAAATATTAGCGTAATCATTTCAACTGGGCATTGTTCCATGGGTTTTTCTCTTTTTCCAGAATTTTTCAAGTAAAAATTCATGTTTCTAATTTCTCTATTTGTGTGCTGGGTATCCGTGCAACGCTAAGATGAAAGACCTTAATACTTTACCACCACGAATATTTTAGCCCGTAACAATAACAAAAAAATAAAGCTTTGTTTGAGATAGTATTTTTATTGCTTTCTAAAGAAAATTTTTAATACAAAATTTTTTAAAAGCAACAAAAAGCAATGGCCAAAACTATCTCAAACAAAATCCAATTTTAAATCAGCTTTTATATATAAAATTTTCTTAAAAATAGTGAAAAATTAATGGCGAAAGTTGTCACAAAATGAAGCCTCATTTCAATTTTATGAGTTTCAAATTAGCTTTGGTGATTTATAAAATATTATAATTTATATTATGTTTTTTTAGACTTCGCTTGGAATAATTTTTTTATTGTTTTCTAAAACAACTTTTTGCTATAATTTTTTTTTAAAAGTAACAAAAAATAACCGTTAAAATTTGTCCCAAGCAAGACCTCCTTATTATTGTTCGTAAAAAATTTTTTTAGTACAAAATTTTTTAAAATTAAAAATTTTTATATAAAAAACTGTTTTTTAAAATAATAAGAATTTGACTCAAAACAAAACTTTTATCTGATTGAAATAAGTCAAGCTGTTCCCTCCTAAGAATTCCATAAACCTAACCGATCGGATAAAGGTTTGGTTAACGGTCCCGAGGCAAAATTTTATAAATAAAAAAATTAAAATTTATTAGTTCAGCTAATTTGTTCCCCTCTTTCAAATAAATGAATTCTATTTAATTAAAGATATTTGACTCTCTAACAACTCTTCTCAATATTTTTTTAATTATGGCTCTCAAGTCAAAATTATCAATAAATGCTATGATTTAATAATATATCATTAACGTTATTTTATTATATTTATTAATTGTATATATTACAAAAAAAATCAAGTAAATTTTATTCACAAAAAAATATAATTATATTCAATATATATATATATATCAAAATTTTATGATATATCTAAAAATCTCCCTTAACAACTTTCTTATTATTTTGCTTTTTAGATTATAACTATAATTTTTATTTGACCACTATTTTTTTAATTCTTTCAAATTTTTTTTTTACTAAAAAACTACTTTCTCAAACAATTTTAAAAATTTGTTTTCTTTACATCAATTTTATAAAACGGTGAGACAATTATTTCCATCAAAAGCTTCGTTTGGAAAGCTTTTGATCATTATTCTTTAAAAAAAAATTATACTAAAATATTTCTGTGAAAAATAATGAAAAAATTATCACAAATGAAACTGAAGTTTAAATACAAAAAAGGAAGATTTACATACATACTACTTTATTTCATGCTATTTATATATCTAACGTCTA